ACGATAATAAAGACGCAGTCGTTGTGACTTTTCGTGGAAAGAAAGTGGCAAGTTTAAAACTTGATGCAGCACAATTATTTGCGAACATAATGGACTTGAATTTAGCTGATGGTGGTTGTTACTATCTTAAACCAAAATCAAACCAAAGTCCGACGTACCTGCAAAAAGAGTGCATGTAAATGTGCTGTAAGACGAACACTTTGGTGAGGAGGGCAGCGTTCCCTTCGAATTTGTCTGAAAATCGCTTTAGGCTTATTCAGGTAAAATGAAAACTAAACTTGCACGAACACTACAAATTTAAAGGTCCCTCCCGAAAATAACAAGTCCAACAAAAACGGTCTCGTCGGATGATGATTTACAATATTTTCGTGTTGAAAATTTACTCTGCATTTCCCCAAATCCACACATAAAAAATACTTATCCCACAGCCGCCATTCCATTTTCTTATTCTACCAGTACCCTGCGCAAGTTTGCTCGCGGGAGTCTGATAATTATTGTCGGAAGGTGACTGTTCTTGTGTCTCTAAAAGACTCGTGGAATACTCGAGAAAATAAGTTTGCAAATAAAACTGCCCAAACATAAATACGCTATGTTGACAAACACTTCAACTGCCCAGTGCAGTAGTTGTGTTGTTTGCTACCCGCAAACAGAATCGCCCACTTTGCATAATCCCAGCTGTAATGAATGACGTTACCGTTCGTTAACAGCACAGACCGTGTCAAAACTCCATAGCGTGAAACAAAATGGTAAAAAATACAGTTCTTTTCACAGACATAAATGTCGATTCATGATTTTTCCTGAGAACAACCTTCAAGGTAATTTATTTACTACCAACCCATGTAATTGTTGCTGCTAAAACGGGAGTTAACCTTGATTGAAGTTTAAAATCACAAAAGTGCTGATTTCTCGGTGTTCGATTTCTGGCAATTAACGTTGACCTAATTTTAAATAGCGTTTCAGTGAGTAGCGCTATGATGTTGCCGTTTGTTTTTTCTTACTCTTGAATATGTTGGCTTCATATCCGTATTTACATATTTGCGAAATTCTATTGCGTTTTTTCACAAACCTCGCGCAAACCACCGGTATACACTAACTTTAACACCAAAAACGTGCTAGAAATTTGTGATTTTCAGAAAGAAAAAAACTTAATGTACAAAATAGAAATACGGATTTAAACTACATGACCGTTGCTTCAAAACAGTGTAAAGTTTTTGGTTGCATGAATAACCGTAGAGCTGACATTTAAAAATGTATTCACGTTAGTTAATTATCAGCCGCGCCGATTTTCAGAATCACGTGACGCTAAAACAAACACAATGTTCACAAAATATTAATAATAGAAAAGTACAAGTCAAGGGCTTTCCAAACATATATAGATTGTATAGGTTCTTGTAAAATTTATTCCGATTATAGATGTTTACATTTTTTATGCTAAAAAACTATCCCGCTACCTTAAGATACGCAATTAGTCTATGCGATCCCACACGGTATCGTGTAGAGGCCTATAGGTCGAAGACACGGGGCCGTGCGATTCGGACGATGGATAACTTATATTAGTACCAACACTTTGAGGCGATATACCATGTCTTTATAGAACATTATAAACACTAGGGTCAAAATAACGAAGCAGAAACTTACCAAGAACGCGACTTCCCGAGAAATCTCTGCGTTTTCAGGTCATTTTCTTGGCCCGGAAAAAAAGCGCCCCAGTGTAAGCTGCGGTTACTGTTTAAAAAACTCAGTGAGTGTAACGGTGACCATGTAAAGCATCTCTAAACCACACAATCCCGACAGGGACTGCTTCTGTACACACTAATGTGCACACCAGCACCGGACTGACGTGAAGTCAAGGCACGGTAGAGATTGATACAGCAATCTCACAGAAGGTTGACGATGATGAAATAAAAAAACGTGTTTCTAAGTTGTACAATGTACATGCGGGCAAAATAACGCTACGGGGCCAAGGTCACTGAACATCAATGTTTAATTGTTAAGACAGAGTTTAACTAATGTTTCAGCTTCGTGTATACGTTATACACAAACTAAGCAGACAATAACTACTTTTTCGCAATAAAACGACAGAGTAGTGCCGGTTTACTTACCACGGTTCGCGCACGTACTCCTCCATGTTGGATTTTAAATTTGTACAATGCGCAGGTCATCACGACGAGTTGACCTTTGACTTAATGTGCGTAACTTTCGCGCCAACTTGAAACAGCTGAGAAGGTCGTTTCGATTCCAATACATTTTCACAGTTTTCGGCACAATGATGTCAACAAATTCTGAAAAGCTTGATTTGCCGCAAAGTTTACCAGAGTTAAAGGTGAGTAATGTTAATACAAACACGAGTATTGTGAGGTATGGATCATGCCGCGTAGTTGTGTTCTCCATCATTGATTGACCCACAGTCCAGCGAGACTGTGATTGATCCACTAACTATTGATTCACTATTAACTCGGGCTGTGGTTATAATGCGTCAACAGACTACACTGCTTTACCAACACTCCCCAAGAAATTCAGTTGTTTTCTGATTGTCACTCAGTAATGCTGTGATCAGTCACGAGTCCTGCACTACTAAAGTGTACAAACAGCGTACAGTGTTGATTTGCATAATGAGAGCTGGAGATTCACAGTCAGTTCGCCCCAATTCACATTCGCCCCAGACCAGTTCGCCCCACAGTCAGTTCGCCCCAAAGTCGGTTCGCCCCAAGTTTACTGGTGTTCGTTTTCGCGGTTATGCCTGCAAGGAAATGTGGTTTTGAAATATTTTAAAAATTATACTAAAGTAAAGCCACATCGAAGGACGCTGATCGCCGCGATTCATGATTGTAGCATATCGCCCGAACCCGTGCTGTGCCGTGTGCTATGATCGCAGACTCGTTTGACCTAATAGTCCGTACGACACTCTCCGACCCGATAGATTTTATAATTGGCGTTCACAGGTCAAAGCAGCCGAGCAATCTTTCCGTTCAGCTTGCGATGAAAGTACAAAATACATAACATCGAAGTTCTTAAATG